CCCGACCCCCGCCCTGCCGCGCCCTCTGCCGCACTTGTCCCACTGCGCGCCCCCTGGAGCGCCGCGCACCCCTGGGACCTTTGCGTTCTCCGGGTGCCCAGCATAACCCGAGAGCCTTGCGCACCCCGGGATTCGGTACTGCCCCAGGAACCCTGCGTGCCCCTGGACCCCTACGCAGCTCAGGGACCCCCGCGCGCCCCAAGACCCTGCGCGCCCTCAGAATCCCCGGGCTCGGCCAACGGGGCTGCGCGCCCTGGTGAGGGGCCCCGCCCCAGAGGGTCCCCCTCTTCCAACAGTCGGAGCCCCGCCCCAGAGGGACCCCCAGGTCTGATAGGGACATCCAGCCACGCCCCAGAGGGCTTCCAGCATCCCGAGGCTGGAGCCCCGCGCTCCAGAGGCTCCTCAGTGCCCAGCTGGGGGCTCCCCGCCCTGCTAAGGGGGTGCTGCCTAGGAGGGTTCCCCGCGGGCCCCGGCAGGATGCACGCCGCCCTAGCGGGTCCGCTGCTCGCCGTCCTCCTCGCCACCGCCCGCGCCCGCCCGCAGCCCCCGGACGGAGGACAGTGCCGGCCGCCAGGATCGGTGAGCGAGCGCCTGCCCCGCCACTCTCCCGCCCGCCCGGGCACTCCAGCCTTTGGGGCGACTGTTTGAGTCCTGCCTTCCGCACCCATCTCAGCCCGCTCGCTCTACCTCTGCCCGCTGGGCGCAGTCTTGGGCGCCCTTCCTGGCTTTTGCCGGTCCTGGCTCTAGCTCGGAACCCAGCCTGAGCTGAGATGGGGCGCTCCCTCTCTCCCATTCCTTCTCTACTCCCTGACACTCTCCGGCTCTCCTCTAGACTTTAGGTCCTGTTTGGACGTTTCCTCTCCGTGTGCCGCCCCCCCTGGACTCTCTTTTTTTCTGACTTTTATTCTGGCCTTACCCTTCCTTATTCTTGCTGCCCATTTCTGTCTGTCTTCTCAGATTCCTTCCAAACCCCTTCGCGCTTACATTCACACACTCTTGCCTCTTCCCTGGTTTCCCTCCCTCTCCCTGCCCTCCTATTCTAACCTAAGGCAAACTTTCTCCTGGTACTGGATCCCTATCCGACCTGGGGGTCCCTCTTTTTCTCTGCAGTCCAGGCCCCAGCACCTACTGTCCCAAGTGCCCCAGTTTGGCGAAAAGGGGGAAGAGTCCAGAGGAGAGGAAAAGTAAATGCCAGGACATGCTGGCCTAATATTTCTTCCGGGGGGTGGAAAAAGTTACTGGTTCTCCTAACTTTCTTTCCAAAATGAAGAATCTCTTGATTTTCTTTAAGTGTTAATTAATTCATTGGCAGTAACCCTGAATTGGAGGCCAAGAGATCAAGAAATTGTGTTGTATGGTCTTCCTTCACTGCCCTGTTAGCAGGGAATTCATTGACCTTGGGCAAGGTGCACCTCCAACAGACTGAATTGTACAGAAACAGGGAGCACATTAGCTGGCTGGGCACTCCGTTCTATTTCCAGTAAGCTGGGATTTACAATTTTTGCTTATTAGTAAAGTAAGGTTCTATTCCTCTACCTGCCCAACACATACTTTTCATTTGTGCCAGATCAGGTAGAAAAATGTTATGAGTCGACCGAAAGTTTGTGAGTGATCATTCAGCACTTCAGGGATTTTTTCTGGATGGAAGAATGGCGTTGCCTGAGAGAAAATGATAGTCCCCTTTACATTCCCATGCCCACTGACCCTAATCTGAATCTGGCCCTGGTCTGCGTGCCCCTGCACACACACACACACACACACAACCCTAATGGGAGCTTAGGTCATAGAAGATGACAGAATTGGGGATAAAGACCAGGTATATATTTTTGATGCAGGAGCCTGGAAAGCACCCAGAATGTGTACATTTCTTGGGATTAATTCTATGGAATCCTCTCTTTCCAAACCAGAAATTGAGACTTGACTTGGCTTTGCGAGGTTTTAAAGCACTTTCTCATCCATGGTCTCAGCTATTGGAGCAAAGTAGCTAACACCCCAGACCTGCCCTCCAAGAAGAAAACTGTATCCACCCTGGTGAATGGGAAGTAGCTGTTGAAATAGGTGTGCTATTTTTAATAGGTGTTCTGCTTTCAAGGTGCGCTTGGCATATGTCTACTAATGGTTGGATTTAAAAGTTATATGACTTCCTCCCTTCTTGCCAGAGCAGGACTCTTGGTCCCCCTCTCCCCACCTTCCACATGAAACACTGGGGAAGGTTTGCCTTGGCCCAGCATGAATGTTCTCAGGTGGTGTGGCAGTGCTTGGCTCTCACAGTGAAAGCTGGTCATAATGAGAGCTTCCCTTCATTGCCCACTTCCTCTGTACCGGGCACTGCTCAAAGGGCTTCATATACATATATTGTATCTTTCAATCCTCCCAGCAGCCCCTGCTCTCACTCCCATTTTACAGATGAGGAACTGAGTCTGTGGGAAGAGAAATGATTCGCTCCAGATCATGCATCTAAGATAGGGCAAAGCCAGGATTCCAGTATGGGTCTTTCAGCTTCCAAAGCTCTTGCTCTTTGCCACAGCCCAAGTGAGTCTTTGCCTTCTGTCCCCACCTCCCCTCCCACTCCTCTGTGCCAAGCCTGGCTCTCCTCTGCTGCCTTCAGCCTCACTGCCTCTCCTCTCCTCTCCTGCAGCAGAGGGACCTGAATTCTTTCCTGTGGACTATTCGGCGTCACCCCCCAGCCTACCTGTTTGGCACCATCCATGTCCCCTACACCCGCGTTTGGGATTTCATCCCTGACAACTCCAAGGCGGCCTTCCAGGCCAGTGCCCGTGTCTACTTCGAGCTGGACCTGACAGACCCCTATACTATCTCTGCACTGGCCAGCTGCCAGCTATTGCCGCACGGAGAGAACCTGCAGGATGTGCTGCCCCGAGAGCTCTACTGGCGCCTGAAGCGCCACCTGGACTATGTGAAGCTGATGATGCCATCATGGATGACTCCTGCTCAGCGGGGCAAGGGGCTCTACGCGGACTACCTGTTCAACGCCATTGCAGGCAACTGGGAGCGCAAGAGGCCTGTGTGGGTGATGCTCATGGTGAACTCTCTCACGGAGACAGACGTGCGCTCCCGTGGTGTGCCCGTGCTGGACCTCTACCTGGCCCAGCAGGCTGAGAAGATGAAGAAGAGCACAGGGGCTGTGGAGCGGGTGGAGGAGCAGTGCCATCCACTCAATGGGCTCAACTTCTCCCAGGTAGGCACGCTCACTAGCTTGGAGCTGGCAGCCCCTGGTGCCTTGGTCCTCTTCTCTATTCGACTTCCCCCTCCAGCTGGCAGCCAGAGCCAGGTCTTTCCCCTAAGGAAGAGCTTCTTTCTGGCTCTGGGGCTGCTTTGGTGGGATGAGGAAAGGGTGCATGCCAGAGTTTGGGGTAAGAGAGCGTTTGCTTGTATTTCAGGGTTACCTGTTGGGGATATCCACTCCGTACTTGCTGTGCTTGCCTGAGCAGAAAGAATTTCCCTGGGAGCATCAGAGTGATCGAAAACAAAAAGAGGGGGTTGCCAGTTTGTGTCAGGCTTTGCCAAAGCCATGGTGTCTGGAGAGCAAGAGGCTGTTGTGAGGCTCTTGTGTGGACAAATACCTGGAGCGGTGGTGTTGTACAGAGGAGGACATGGTGCCTGGGCTGGGCTGGCAGGGGACGTGTCCTGGACCTGCCCTTTACAAGCACTGGTTTGCTGTTTCAAGTTAAGCACTACAGAATTTCCTGGGCCTTTACTAAACTCTGAGACTGCTTCCTTAAGATTGGGAGAAAGTCAGCAAAGAGACTTTGGGGGTTAATAATTTCAGAGACATGTGTTTGCTTAAAGGTTGACAGTTGTGATTTCTGAACCTCACGAGTGGGGGCAGAGAAAAGGGAGGGGCTTAACAGGTTTAAAGTCTCTGACTGCCAGAGACCTGAGCCAGCAAAAGGCCTTCTCTATGGACAGAGGTCACTCGCAACTCACTGGCCCCAAACTCAACTCTGAGGCCCTGGGAACAATGAGTTCACATCTGTGCCTTGAGAAAGGGGCTGTCGTTCCCAGGATGGGGACTCCCAGGCTGGTGGCTCCTGCAAGGAGGCCTCAAGAGGGGGTTCAGGCCAAAGTCCCCAGAGCCGTGAGGCCCTGAAAGGTGCATGCTCCGCATTAAGGAGACAGCACCATAAGATGATGGGACCAGGAACGATCTACCACTGGGATCAGACCTGCCCGCTGCTCCTCAGATGTTGCAAGCTCTTCACCAGGGAAACCATGGCAGAAACCGATCCCCCTTTCCGAGATCTCTGGCCTTTGTTTTTCCAGGGGAAATGCAATATTGTCCCCAGGGAGGTAAGAAGCCAGATTGATTTGCCGGCCAAATGAAAGGCGGGTTTGTCGGTTCTCCTGCTGGCTCTCCCATAATTGTGGAGTCCTTACCCAGAGGGGCCCGGTGGCAGGAATATTGGGGCAGTTAGTCACGCCCCGCAGGGTTCTGACTACGCCTGACTCCTTCTCCACGGGGGAAAATCCTGCGTATTCTCTGGCCCAGTGTTGATTCCTCTGAACATAGCGGCTCTCTCCCTCTGAAGTGACTTTTCCCTTGCCAGCCTCGGGAGCTGATATTATCTGTGTTGGGGCCCCCCAGCGCTCACCGCCCATCTCATTTTGGAGGCAGGTTTGTGGGGGGCCTCTCTGCTCAGAGGCCTCCTGTCTGGCCTTATATCTTTTTTAGGCTGGGGAGGCGGGGGATCCACCATCATTCTCAACACCCTCTTTGTACCAACCACAGAGGAATCCAGCGAGGGCTGAGGGGAGCCCTCCAGTGCTCTGCTTAAACAGCCCCTGGCTTTAATCTGTCTCTCTTAAAACAACAAAACTATCTTTTCTTTGGGGTCTGGAAATGCTGCTGTACAACCAAATGACGGCTCTGCTAGGTTGAAAACATTTGCTGGGAAGTGTGTAAGGTTATGTTTTAGGAAAAGTTCCTGAGAGCCATTCATCGGCCGGCAAGGAGCCCGCTGACAGTCTCCAAAGCCCATGTTTGAAGATCAAACAGACTCCAATTTCTATTTCAAAAACGTACCCATCCCATCTCCAGCCTAGGCCGGCTCTTCAAATTGTTCTGGGGTCCAGCCTCTCACTAGGGCTGCAGAAAGCAAGTTCCAAACAAAAGAAACCAGGTCTCCTCTTGGCTCCCTAATCTGCACACCCTTCACCACCTGCCGGAGTGCCTGACTGGCCAATTTGTCCTGTTATCATTTTGGACTGAGGTGATGAAATCTCTCCTCCAACCCCTTGGGCAGACGTGGGCTAACCTGGAAAAGGTGGGATTAAGAACCTGGGCAGATGGGGTCATTAAAGATCCCTAAACTCACAGTTAGAAATGCAACAGCCTACTCAGTAAAATTGCATGCGCGCATGCACAGTTTGATATGAACATCTGTGATGCATTATTGTACCGAAATATCTGTTAAGTGCATCAGATTTTTATTTTTTCTTTCCTCGAAGCATTACTATTATTGCAAAATATTTGGTTTGGGGGGGGCAATGAGAGAGGAAGGCTAGAAAAAAGGCTTAAAAGAGTCCCTTTCTGTTAAGGTCTGAGATTTTAGTTTTAATTTTGGTGTTACAAAAATTTTTTATAGACATAAATATTTGTTTTTTTTTCTGGGAAGAAGCAGTTTTGCTTCTTAAGCAGAGAAAGAAAGATTTAGCTTGGGGACTTCAGGGCCTGGAGAAACCCCTGAAAAACTGGAAGGCTGGTAACTGATCTTGCCTAGCTTGGAAGGTCAGGTCTATTGGTAGGTTTTGATCTTTCATTTCAAAATAAACTGAAAGTGCCAGACCTAGCATCACCATGACTTTGCCATGTGACCTTGGACAAGTCAGTTCCTCTCTCTGGGCCCTGTGTTCTCTGTCTCTGAAATGAGACACCAGGATTAGGTCATCTTTCAAGCCCCTTCCAGCCCTGACATTCCATAGGATGATTCTAATCAATTCCACGTGCCAGGCACCCTGCAGGAAGCTCCACATGCGTTTCCATTTCACTGAATTCCCATAGCAACCCTATAGCTTTCTAAGGTGGGCACCCAGAAAGGTTGATGACTTGCCCAAGGTCACGTGGCTAATAAGGAGCAGAGCCCATCTGCCTGCCTCTAAGTGAAGGATGTGCTCTTCTTGACACTGGTACTGTTTCTTTAGACTTCTGTCTAGGTATCTGTTATTCTGCTGTATACTTCCTTTAGGGCTTAAAATGTTATTTCTTGGTGATTTTGTACTTGTAGAGACATTATTTCCTTTGGCTGTGAGGCTGGAGAGGGGATGGTGAAGGCTGATCCTCTGAAGAATGTGGCTTCCTCGTGTGTTGTAGGCAGTTCAGCCTGGTGGGAGACTTGTCTACTTCAAGCTGGACCTGAACTGTTGTAGGCAGTTCAGCTTGGGCGAGACTTGGTATCCCCATCTAATCTATCCAATGGGATGGTAGCTGCCAGTCTTTCAGAGTGGAGCTGGTTTTATGAGTACGTGAGAAGACACTCCCTGTAGAAGGTTGTTGAGAAAGTAAATGACTTCCTGCATGATGGTTCTGAGCTTGGCAAAGAGTAAACTAGCCTCCCAGGAAGAGGAAGGCTACATGGGAAGCCACCATGTGCTTCTTCCAGCAGCTGTGTCCACTGTCCAACCTTTGCTGGGCAAACTGAAACTGGAATATTGAGAGGTAGTGATGAGGCCCTGCCTTTGGGGGCCTGGGATACCTGAGCCTTGAGCCCAGATCTTATGACAATCTTGAGACCTGCACATTCCTATCAGTTCTGCCTGCTGCCTCAAGGGACTGATGCTGGCTGTCACTACTCCCTCTGGGGATCTCCAGTCCTCCCCGACCATACCCCTGTAAGTGGGGACACTGGATGAGAAGACCTTTTAAGTTATATGGTGCTCCGAGATATAATAAGTAAATGAGGATACTGCCATGCTGTGCCTTAGCCAGTCTGCTGGTGCCACCCATCCAGTGTGTGTAGAGCCTGAGCTCTGGGACAGGCCTGCCAAACATGTCCAAAATGTTTGTAAAATTCTACAAGTCCCTCACCTGGGAGCTAGAAACCACAAAATTATCTGCTGAACTTTGTCTCTGTGCTGGGTGCTACATTAGATCTCACAAGTATGTGATCTCTAATCCTCATGCCAATGCTACAGGGTCAATTGTCATATATGTCTTAAAGACAATAAATTAAAACTTGAAAAGGTTGGGTCATTTGGCTGTGATTACATAGACAGGCCAGGTAGACTCCAGGGTCAGACTCAGGTGTGTCCATTGCTAAAGCCTGTGCTTCCCAAGCATCTCAGAGATGAATTGATTGTTGTTTTTAATAGTCAAGTAGCTTTATCTGGTGGATTTGTATGTGTATGTGTATGTGTATGTGTGGTGTGTGTGTGTGTGTGTGTGTGTGTGTGTGTGTGTGTGTGTGTGAAGTGTATGGGGGGGGAAGATTTTCATTTCTTGCTAAAAAAAGCAAAATAGAGAAAGAGAAATAATTGAAAAGTGCTGAAACTGATTTTCTCCCTGGTTTATAAATTGGATCTGAAGGTAATTCTAAAATAGGAGTTTCCAAAGACATTCTGGGCACCAGCTGCCTCCTTGGAATGCATCTCCAGCTTTCCAAGGGACCACTGTGAAGGCGGCCGCCCTAATACAAGCTAAGACTGAACAGTTGAATAAAGAAAGATCTCCTTGGTTTATAGTCAAGGTTCCCATATCTACATCCTGGGGGGCCAGCAGGTATTAGTAAATATTTGCAGAATGAATTAACACCAAATGGTCAGAACCCATGATATGACCTTCCCTAATTCCCTTTTACCATCCAGCACTGCTGAATGAATGAATGTATGAAGAAAGAAGCATAAGGCACAGTGAAGAGCACCTTTCTTGGACTTCAGTCACTCCAGGCTTTACAATAAAGGACACAAAATACCAAAGTCATCAAATGGGTTGTCTTAGCCTATCGGAGCTACTATAAGAAAATCCCTTCCACTAGGTGATTTATGAACAGTGTTAATTTATTGCTCACAGTTCTGGAGGCTGAGAAGTCCAAGACCAAGGTGCCAGCAGATTCAGGGTCTATCAAGGCCTGTTCTTCATAGATGGGTCTCCTCTGTGCCTTCACGTGGGAGAAGGGGAAAAGGGAGTAACAAGCCTCTTTATTAGGGCATTAGTCAAGATTCAAAATAGTTACTTATCTTTAC